TGTAACGACCCTAGAAATCGCTACTATAATGATGTCTTCGCAAAGTAGTAAACAAGTAAATAACAACATCTATTTTACATTATATTATCGTAATTGTAACATATATTGAAATTCCAGTTCACTAACGGAACTTCAAAATATAGTAACATAATTTATTTATATATTATACATGTAAAAGTAGCTCCCTCGAAGCTATCCCATTGAACTATCCCTGTTGTCCGAGTAGTCACATCACCATCTCTCAACTCCTGATCTGCTCCCACATAAAAGTGATCATCGCAGTCCCATCCACATGGAAAAATAGGAGTAAGTATTAAATCATTCAATATAATAAAACAGATATAGAAGTAATAATTATATATTATGATCAATTACGAAATTATCAACACACTAAGACACATTCGGAAGTATACCCTAACTATGCCCGAACTCGGAGGCTACCATCCGTGGGCACATTGTGATCGGTACCGCAGTACCATTCGACCACCCTCCACACGAGTAGGATTATTGGCGCCCTTCATCACTCATACTCGGAGTACCCCTCCAAGCGCGCCACCAGTCATCCCCCCATCGACTTCTCACCACTCGATCTCGTAGTCTACCCGACCCGACCAATCGGTGAAGTCCGGGACCTCATTCAGAATCCTCCGACATAGTTATTACACTAATGTACTCTGTACCACCCCGGTACCATTCAAACATACAAAATTTATTCACATTTGTCGGATTCTGGACCACCTGTCCTCACGGCTCATTCGAGTCAATAAATTAGTATTTGAGTCGATTCTCGGGCATCGGCCCTCGGGCTTAGTCGACCCACACACGTCACAAGACTCTACTTTCATTCTCTCTCTCTTTATATATATATATATATATATATATATATATATATATATATATATATATATTTTTCCTAAAATCATTTCCGAAATCAATAAATTACTATTTTGCCCTTGATCTTTTAAAAAAATCCCCACCATATCCCTTTCTTCTTCCTTCGCTTGCTCAAGCAAGTACACCGGTCGCTTGAGCGAGATGGAACCCGAGAGTCCCCTTTGTTTGAAGGCTTCGTCGCTCAAGCGAGTACACTGAGTCGCTTGAGCGAGACATGACCCGAGAGTCCCCTTTGTTTGAGGCTTCGTCGCTCAAGCGAGTACACCGTCGCTGAGCGAGACATGATCCGAGAGTCACCTTTGTTTGAAGACTTCATCGCTCAAGCGAGTACACCGATCGCTTGAGCGAGACATGACCCGAGAGTCACCTTTGTTTGAAGACTTCGTCGCTCAAGCGAGTACACCGGTCGCTTGAGCGATAAAGGACCCGAGAATCCCAAATTTTCCAGGTATTCTCGCTCAAGCGACGTGTTTTTCGCTTGAGCGAATTTTGCGAATTTTCCAGTCCGCCATTTTCAAAATCCAGATTTCAAATTTCTCGGTTTCAATCACCCAAATTAGTTCCAAATCAAAATTTAACCATAAACATGTTCAATTTAAGTTAAAAACAACAATTTTAGTATATAATTCATCCTTAATTTCAAGAATTTCAAAAAAACTTTCAAACGATGAAGCTGTTCATCAAAATCGGAAATTCTTCAAAATTAGACTTTCTTCAAAATTATACATTCCAATACTTCATATCTCTACTCCTATTCCTTATTCACGAGTACCCAACAATTCAATTTCATATATTGAATGAATTAAACTTCCCCTTACTTGGTATGGTATTTCTACCGAAGTTTTTCCACTTAATTCAAGTTCTCTCCCGTTTCACCGGATCCCGCACGAGTAGAGTCTCGTTGCTTGAAATTTAGACAATAGAAGAAGAAGGATGAGAGGAAAATTTTGATTCCCCTCCTCCCAGCTTCGATATTCATATATAAGAAAAATTTTATCGTGCATGAGGAAAACTTCGTTACGAAATTTTCTTGCACGATAATATTAATATAATATTAAAATAAGGCATACGTCACAATACCTCCTTAGGTTTTTTAAGAAAAACAAATAAAAGATCAAGCATATGTAGTTTTACTTTTAACAATTACAAATGCAATGAAGAGTATGTTGTTGTTTCTGACTTTTGCAAAAAACTAGTAGTAGGGTGCCCCTGTATTTGTCATTCAAAAATGTGCTATCCACTTATATTAGTGGTTTGCAAAACCAAAAGTCTTTAACGCATGACTTGAAGGTCCAATAGAGTCTTTTAAAGTATACACTATCTTCGTCGTAAGATAGTTGTTATGTAATCAATCAGTAATAAAAATCAGAAATAAAAAATTGTGACATGACTTGCAATAGGTTGGACAATTTGTTGAATGATTCTTCCTAATTGTAGTAGACATTTTCAACTGCTTATTATTTTACCAACCAAACATTTCTACATGTCATAATGTATACAATTGAAAATTTAATATGAACAATAATAGTTGTGAGTCCACTCCAACCTATTATTATCATTTGAAATCAAAGGCGTAGCATATATGTGGGCATTCTATTCTTTATTTTTATTTTACTAATTTTTTATCATTTTTGTCTTTTTAAAAAAATTATTAATCAATTAAATTATATTATATTTTTCAATTTTAATTTTACATTAAACACTTAAAATAATTTTTATTATATAATCTTATTATTTATTTATATTTTTTTTTACACCAAAGTCATTATTAAATAAATAATAATTCTTATAATTTACTTTATATTGTTTTATTTTTATTTTGTTGTTCTGCCTCTATTTTATTAAACAAAAAAATGACTTTATTAAATTTTGACTTAAGAGTTGCACATGTACCTTTATATTAAATCAGTCTAATCCAAAACTAATTACAAGTTTCCGATTTAGAAATTAAACTTGATATATTTTAGTTGAAGAATTCTTAGCTTGATATGGTGTCTCATATTTCCTGAGGTCATTCTCACTATGTAGAAAACAAGTTTACTCTTACCACATTATGCCAAAGTTCAATAAACAAAGAAAAAGATGTTAATATTGCTTCAAAGTATTGATTTGACTCAAGTATATAATTTTTTTTTTTCAAATGTTACATCTGCTACTAACTAGAAAACTTACACAACAATTGTATTATCCACAATTTAGTTCCCTTTTTAAAGATTTATCATGTCTTCACTCTCAATGTTAATGTAATGACTTATGTCGATAACTTTTAGTATGTTTATTTAGTAGGTACAATTCAATTTTTAACTTAATCCCTCCATAATGTCATCTATTGTGTTAACTCCAATAGTATTTGCATGGCACGTGACATTTAATATGTCCATTATTGTCAAACCTTAAATTAGAAAATCCATCATTTTCTTTGCAATTGCTAACAAAAAGCAACAAAAGAACATAAAGGTCTTTATATCATCAGAATGAATTATATAAAGCAAGAAATTTGCACACATAAGAAAAATTGTTATAAGGAAATGCACCTTAAGCACAAGAAATCATAAATAAGGACATCAAGTTTACCCCGTCAAAAAATTGGTGTCACCTAATAATTTTGTAAATAATTGCATAACATCTAAGCAACGGTGACAACGAGAAAATGTGATCGAGGAGGTCTTGTGGCATAAAAGATGAGATCTTCCACAGGAAGCAATGACAACATTGAGGAAGCAAAATGGTGGAGAAGGTGAGATTTGCCGAAGGAAATAGAAGTGGGACAAAGGAGCATGAAGGAGGAAGATCTCTAGTAGTAAAGGAGGTGAGACATATTGAAGAAGAAAATAATGACTATAGTAAGGGAGTGTGACTAGAGGGATTTGGTGGCAAAGGAGGTGAGATCTATGAGAGAAAGAAGCATAGCAATGATAAGGAAAAGAAGGGTGAGGGAAAGAGGTTTGAGTTAGAGAGAATGAGATAAAAGAAGAGGGTAGTATGGTTATTTAATAGTTAACAAGACTACCTAAAATAATGTAAAAAAATGTTCGAAACTAATGATGATAAAACATAGGAGAAGAGACAAAACAAGTTAGATCCAATGAATCCACTTGCCTAAAGATTGATGAAACAAGTTGGTAAATTTTTTTAACTCATTAACTCGTTTTAGCTCACTCCACTAACTGCTTTAGCTCAACTCTACCAACTCGGTGAGATAAAGACAAGATGAAACAAGTTAATTTATTGATCGCTTTAAAATAATTTATATATTAAAATTAAAAAAATTATAATTAAAAATATCATATTTTTTGTATTATATTATTAAAATATGTAAATATATTATAATATTATAATTTAAATTATAAAAAATAATTAAATTTAAATTATTGATTATAATTAGTTATTTTGATCTATAAATATAATATTTTTTAAATTTATCTAATAAAAATATTAATTAATAACTAAAAACTTAAAAATTATTTATATAATTAAAAATATAAGTTTTTAGAAATTACAATTCAATAATTGTATATATAAAAAAATTATTAACCACTAAAATATGTAATCGATTCTGAGTACGAAGTCAACCCATCCGATCTTATTTTTGGCGGTTCAAAAAACAACGCAGATTTATCATCCTAGATAGGAGGTGTCAATCTAATTTTGTCAGTCTAATTTGGTCCATGTTATAATAGACAATTATTTACTTTAAAGGTTGCCGTTTTAAAGTCATTAAGGAAAAAAAAATATTTTTATTACATGAGGGCAGGAAGAAGCCTTCCTTACTAACACTTTGCACAACATCTAATATGACAATATGATATGTTTGCTAAGGACATCTAACGGTAGGAAATAGAATTTAAGGAGCAAAATGATTAGGATGTAAGTCACTTAACACTTTATAATGTTATAGATAGCTAGGAACAATGAATGCTTGATTAGATTCCCGCCAGACAAACTCATACAGAACCAAATATAAATCATTCCCAGGTAAACTCCTTGGAAAGATTTTTTTTTTTTTTAATGTTTTATCTTAGCAACTTATATCTGCAAAATGTAGATGTCCTATTGTAACAGGATACCGAGTAATGCCTTCACAGGAACAGGTCCATTTTAAGTCATTAAAGAGCATTTATCATTCTCTTCATCTCAGCAGACCTCCTGGGATCTGGTTCTTCAATTGCTCTCTCGGTAAGTACGTGCTTGATGCGACACATTGACTTCCTCACCTAATTTCAGATACCAAACAAATCAATAAAAAAAAAACGTGTTTTTTTTTTCGTTCCCCATACATAGTTAATATTCAAAATGCAATTTTTCTCTAATCATAGTTCTATACCAAGAACAGTTCAGGAAAAGAAGATCAGAGAGCAATACCACTATGATTGTTCTACAACATTCATCCATGTAAGTACGGTTAACATGAGCAATGCATGTGTAGGGCAGAACAAGTGCAAAGCGAGGTGATACCTTAGGGATGCGCTCTGGGTTAGGAAAACGTAGGTTCTGTGCATTAAGCATTTGACGCTGAGTCATCAACATGTTCTTCTCTTTTAACAACACATACCACAACTTATGAAGGTCATCCCAAGATTTCAGGCGCAGTTCGCAAGCCTTCCAACTCCGACCTAGTAATAAACATTAAGAAAGAAAATAAAAAGAGACAACCATTATTAGAACAAAAATGGCACAACCTTCAAAGCTCAACAGAGAAAATCAAGAATTTTGGCTGTACTGTTGTGGCTATTGCCTGAAAATCAATGTAATTTTCACACCAAATCTACATGAAAACAAGAGGTGCACGACCCGTACCATAAACAACAGGTTTGTCATCATCAGGGCTCCTGTCTGCCTCAAAGAACTCTTGAAGGGGGTTGCGTACTTCTCCGCCACCAGCAGCAGCTGTAGTGGCATAATGTTTTGATCTAGCAGCAGCAGCAAAGAGTGTTCGTCCAAGTGTTCTAGACAAAAACATGGCTGCATTGCCAATCATATTGATTGTACAATGTAAGAAACCAGATGACAAGGAATGCCCATGCAAACAATGTTGTCAAAATCAAATCAAATATGATCTTAAATCACATTCACAGGGGTTTTCCAGGCAATGTATCATTGCGTATGATCAAGAAACAATTGAAAAATCAAATCATTTAGGTTAGCATGCACGTCTGAGAGAAGAAAATGCAACTCTGAAAGTTAAAAAATCCATTGGCAAACTTGGCTTCTCCTATTTTACACCCACACATGTAGGCATTGGGTGGTTGAGTTTATAGTCATAGAGCTATCAATATGTGCCAGCCATCATCTTCAGCCTTATCCCACTTAGGCCAAGGCCAAAGCCCAAGGTGGCCATCCAGATTAAGGCCAACTCACTAAAAAATGATAATTAGTAAAAACCCTAAAACAAAGTGAAAATGTTGATCAACTAAGTATTCGTACTTCATTACAAGTTCAATATTATATTAGTACATAATCCTAAGATTCGAGACACCAACTGATACAATATACCCTTGCAGATTTGGAATATATCCACATGATGAAGCAAGTCTAGTAGAAAACACACAGATAAGGGGTAAAGAAAAGGAGGAAGTACGGGAAATATTCAGAGAAGTCAAAATATTCATCGTGGGACAGCCTGCCAAAATGTGCTATTGGCTAGTTAACAGTGAAATGTAACATTGGTAGCCGACAAAATTGATGATGATGATGGATGAAAAAAAAATGCTACTTTAACATATTGAACATTAAATTGGATCCATAGTTCACACTAAAAATCTATATATGCCTATTAACACGCATATCAATATACACACATCAATTTAAGGTTACACTGGACGAAAAATAGTTTGTAGGCAAGTGAGGTCTAACAAAGAGACCAAAAAAATGGGAATACTGGACCCCTAAATCACATTTTGAGGGCAAGGCAAAATGGTTTTCCACGTTAAGACCAAATATCGAACAGTTGGTGGGCAAAATCAAATATATTGCAAATGGAAAAATGTGAAACATCATGAACAACAAATAAACAAGGGCGTGTCGAAGTAAATTAGGGGGAGGGAGAAAAAACCTCATAAAAGGGGGAAATAAGTAAGTAACTCTACTCAGGTCCACAGTAACAGGTCTTGGGGAATGAGATTCACACACGAAAGTAAGAAAAATGAATACAAATCAAAAAGGGAATAAGCACAAAACAAACCTGAAGAAGTAACGAGACTGCGCTGAAAAGATGAAGTGGGGATCAAACTACGAAGATGAATTCATAAAAAAAGAAAATGGAAGTTGAGGTCGGGGTTTAAGGGTTTTTCGAAGGAGGAAGAGGAAATATATTCTTTTTCTTTTCACATTTCTGGTGGTGTCAGGTGTAATAAAAAATATCGTTAAATTACAAAACTTTAAACTGTTTGAAAATTTCTAAATACGTACATAAACTATTTTAATTGAGCTACTGATCCTCATACTTTCTTAATTTTAATTGTTACAAACTAACTCTAAGACTTGCCTCTTTCGTTTAGGAATAGATTTAGAAAACAAATTCTGAAATAGTTTAGAAACAAAGTATTTTAACTAAAAAGATTTCATTTTAATTATAAAAAATACCAAATTACACTGAAAAACATTTTAAAATAATTTGATTAAGGTATTATGCATTGTAAATAAATAAAATCAATTTAAGAATACTTTTGAGATGATTATTCTATTTTTTTTAAGATAAAATATTTTAACATTTTTATAATACATATTAATTTATAATTATATACAGAAATGTTTTTTAATTAAAACATTATATTATTTTGTTTAGAAATAAGAATTTACAAGTCTCAAGAATTACTTATAACAATATTGTTATGATTCATATTATTATTTTTAAAATTTTATTCTATCATGATTTTATTTTAAAAAGTATTTTAAAGATAAGAAAATAAAATATTTGTAAATTAATTTTAATATTAAATCCTAAATAATTTACAACTTATGACTGTTAAGAAAATAAATTAATATTAGTTTTGATAAGTTTTCATGAAAATATTTTTTTAAAAGGATATTTTAGCTTTGAGATTATGTGGGATGATTGGTATGTAATAGTTTAATTATTGGACATGCCATTGTTTCGTATGTGATTGTTAGGTAGTGGTTATTAAACATGTTATCATTTCTTTTGAATAAGAGAAATGATTTTTCTCTTTATATTTTTTATTAGTGGAATAATGATATATGAAACTTGTGAATAAATACACTATACTTAATGAGAAAAAGAAACATATGACATAATATTCTTTTGTTCTCCCCATTTCTCGGTTATTATACCAATGTTGCTCCTCTTGAAAATTTTCAACATTGGTGGTGCTTTAAAAATCTTGAATACGAGATAATGTTTTATATTTGACATGTAAAAGTTAGACCCAAGTTTTCGTTAAAACATCATTAGTAAAGATAATAAGATAATTTTTACCTTCATTAGAAAATTGACATATTAGACTGTAAATACTTAAGGGTACCAATTCTAGCCATGACTTGTTATTAGAAAATTGAAAATGATATTGTTTGTTAACAATGCAATCCTAACACTAGGAAGAAGCTTGAATTTGAGCAAACTATATAATCATGTTCTTCTTATTGTGAAATTGTAATCCTTCAAAGCTATAATATAATGAAAATATCATAACAATGATAAGTCTTTGATTTTAGCTATCAAGTAAGACTTAATGGTTTAATCTTCAATAAAAACAACATGTTGGAACTCATCTATTCAATAATAATAACTCCACTAATAAGATGATATATTTCATAAACACCTTGTTTAATAACCATTTTCTTGTTGTTGACCAACACTCAATGAGTTACTTTGCAAGTCAAGGATGTACATTACATTAGACACTATTTTCATAAAACTATTCTTGGTTTTTATTTTGATATCACAAGCACCTTGTTTAATAGTAATGATATAATCATTTTCTTGTAACTATCTAAACTCAACAAGTTACTTTTCAAGTCAAAGATGTACATTACATTAGATATTGTTTCCACAAAATCATTCTTGATTTTATTTTGATATCACATTTACCCTTCTCTTTTACAAAGCAAAATCACCAAAATTAATAATAACGTGAAAATCCCTTATTTAAATAAGAGAACTAATATTTATACACACTCATGTCATTAATGTAGTTTAAATCAATATACCAAATTTCTTGAAACTATTTTGTTTTCTTCCTAGACATTCATTAAGAAGATTTCTTTTTCTTTCACTTTTTTCACAAAATATATGTTTTTCCCTTTCTCTTTATCATTAAGAAGGTGATTATGACATTCAAAAGCATAGTAAAAATATTTATGGCATTTAAAGTATTCTACCTTAGATTTGGTATGAAGTACATTTTGTGAAACAACCCTTCCTATCTGATAGAAAAGGATCCCATGATCCTGAACCAATCTTACCTGAGATCGAAAATCCTAAGTTTCTCTATGAAGAACAAAACTACTTATATTAGTGTTTATGATGAATTTTTTTTTTTTGTATAATATTAATCGATAGGGCCTCATTGTTAAGTGCTACAAGATCTCGTACATTTAAACCCATCATTGTGGACCTGAATCTATTAGTATAAGACATTTTCTTTTCCAAGTGAAATCTCCTAGTATATGAAAGAGTGAAAACGTGTTTTTGTAATGAAATTTTTCATTATTAACATTGACATGTTTGTTTTCCTCTTTATTTTTATTGGGAAATCCAAGTGTGAGACTAAATCCCACATTGAATAAAAATGAGAAAGTTGAGCAACATATAAGGAAGAAAGACTCATAACTTAATGTTTTAACGTTTTAGGTTGAAGGTAGTGTCAATCCCTTATATGGGTTGGACTCATGTCTCATTAGAGTTGTTTCTCCTCAGTGAGTCCCCCTCGAAAGATCCAATAGTGGTATGAGAATCGATGATTTATATGGTGATCGACAGTTTAAGAGTGATCTTTGTATTAAAAGTCTTATTGATAATGTATCAGATAAACGTGCCCTGTTATGATGAACGACGATACAAAAAATGGTCACTAGTGAGTTTGAGGAGATGTACCAATGTGAAGAGACTCACACTTGAGCGGGAGATTGTTAGGAAATTCAAATGTGAGTCCAAGTCTTACGTTTAGTAAGAATAAGAAAGTTGAACAACATATAAGGAAGAAAAACCTATAACTCAAAGCTTTAAGGTTTTGAGTTGAAGATAGTGTCAATCACTTATGTGAGTTGGACTCATGTCTCATTGAAGTTGTATTTCCCCAATGAATCCCCTCTTAAAAGATCCAATAGTGGTATTAGAGTCGATGGTTTGTGTAGTGACCGACATTTTAAGACTGATACCTGTATCCAAAGTCTTCCTGATGGTAGGTCAGGTAAGCATGTCCCGTTATGATGAATGACGGTATAAGAAAGGTCACTAGTGAGCTCGAGGAGATGTACCAATGTGAAGGGATTCACACTTGAGGAGGAGATTGTTGGGAAATCCAAGTGAGTCTAAGTCCATATGGAGTAAGAATAACAAAATTGAGCAACATACAAGAAAGAAAGACTCATAACTCAATGTCTTAAAGTTTTTGGTTGAAGGTGGTGTCAATCTCTTATGTGGGTTGAGTTCATATATCATTGGAGTCGTCTCTCCTTGGTGAATCCTCTTTGAAAGGCCCAACAACTTGAGGGGGATGTACGAATGTGATGGGATTCATACTTGAGGGGGATTGTTGGGAAATTCAAGTGAGAGTCAAGTCCCATATTGAATAAGAATGAGAAAGTTGATCATCATATAAGTAAGAAAGACTCATAACTCAATGTATTAAGGTTTTGGGTTGAAGGTGATGTCAATCTCTAATGTAGGTTGGACTCACGTCTCATTGATGTTGCATCTCTATGGTGAATCATCCTAAACAAACCTATAAGTTTTCCCTTTTTTTTATTGTCGTCTTTGTGCCCTCTATCCCCTCTCCTCTTCCTCTTTATCGACATTTTCCCCTTTGTCTTGAGTTGTTAAATAGGGTATTCGTAGAAGCTTTGAAAGTTTGTTTATTCTAATTTGATTTCAGTTCATTTTTTGTTCAAGGATCAACAACGAACTATATAGTTCATCAAGGTAAAGGATATATATCTCTTTTGACTCCTTAATAGAGAAAACAACATAGTTAAATGTCATGGAACATAAAATTTTCTCTACTATAATAACATCTTGAATTTTTTCTTCATTATTTTGTTTATGATCTCCATAATCCTCCTAAAAAAGCTAGTAATAGATCTGGAAAACATCAAAATCTCTTTACAAGGTTTGAAGTTATGCATATTTCACACTAGCAAAACCTTAACATTGTTTTTCACTGAATTCCAAATATCCTTGGAAGTATTTTTACAAAGAATAGTCTCCAAGGTTAAATGATCAATAACTTTTTTAGCCTTCATATCTTTGAGTTTTCTTGCTCGAATTTTTGTATTGTGCATCTATTACGGTAGTTTTTGGTGACTTTTGAATTACAAATTTAACAATTGTCTAGAATTCTTTTAATCATAAAAATTACACCATAAAAATTATCAAGATTTCTTTCTTAGAAGAGACCTCAATGGAAAAAAAAATGTTTATGGACTAGCCTTAGTCTCACATCCTAAACGATGTGGAACATATTAGCATACTAGAACATAGCCTTCAGTCATGACTAAGGGGTAAGAATGGACCAAAACTCTATTTTTGGCCCCATGATGTATGTCAAGTGTTTTACTGGATTAGTGAAGGCAAATGATGGGCTCGAGCTTTGTCGAGTAATTCTTTCATTGGGCACTTAGATGATAGAGGGAGGAATCACATACAACAATTATAATGTTTGGATAATTGCTTGTAGATTGTGAAATATTTTATCCTTAATATCTTAAGGACTCTCGTTGTATTTTAACATGTTGATATATTATTCTAAATTGTTTTATTTGAGTACATATATAAATTCCTCAAGCTTGGAAGTAGAGTATTACGCAGGTGGAATATATTTATATGAGGGTGAATAAGTTACATTGAGATGAATAATGTTCATCACTTGTTATACTTTTCTAATATTGTCTTTATTATGGGAATAAAGTATTCATTACTATGTGATTATTGTAGTTTTCAAGCATTTTCTTGCTAATTGATTACATTATTATGAATTGAAAATATTTATAATCAAAGTTGCTCATTTATGCACATTTTACTTATTTTTTCACACTCATTCTTCATTACCCCCCTTACCTCCTATGTTGCCTTCCTTGCTTCCTTTGGCTTGCTTACCCCTTGTCTCGTTACATTCCTTCTTTGTCTTGCTCTAGAGAAGTGTTCTTTATGTCTTAAGATATATTATTGTTTACCATACTATTTTCTTTCCTTTTGTTTCTTATAAAATGTTTTCTTCTTTATGTAGATCATTTATCAAAATGTTGGAAGGTGACTCTTCTGATTACGAAAAGTAATAGATATGTGACTCTTTTGATTAAGAAAATAATAAATATGTTAACTCTTCTTTAATGAATTTGAAATTATTTATGTTAATATTTCGGTGGTTTCTATTCCTACAACGAGTTATGATCTAACTCTTTGAAAATATAGGGTTACTAGTACTCGTAAGGGCTTCATAGCCCAAAAACATACTAATTTTTGGCTCAAGCAAAGGGAAACAAAATATGTGTAGACATCAAGATAAATTTTATGTTATTCGTTACCCTAAATACTATTGTGTACTTAATAAGATCTAATACTATAACTTCAAATTACTTTAGTATTTTGAAGAAGAATTTTTATAAAAACTTTAATATTTGTAAGTCGACTTATGTTGAACTAATCCCTCAATTCTTATTGATTTATATGAAAATCAACTATTAATGGTAATGACTTTAGATTTGTTAAAGTGTTTATTTAAGAAATCAGATATCTCGTATTGAATTCAAATGTCAAATACTCGTATTTTTTACATTGACTTATGGAAAACTAAATCTCAATAGTTATATTTTTTTAAAGATTTTTTAGATTTTTTTTAAATGGACCTCGTCATGCGAGTTATTTTTAATTTATCTTAATTCTTTAAAAAATTTAAAACTCAAATTTTTAAAATAAAATACAGTAAAAATGATTTTCCAGGATTATTAAATATATTTTAGAGTAAAAATAACAAGAACTTATTTCCATATTCATACAAGCTTCCGCCACTTAATCTATCGCCGCATCATCCATGATTCATCTCCAAGCCTTCCATTACTTTGCTTGCCTTACAGTAAAACCTGAAGTAAAGTTTCTTGAACCACTCCTTGATTCATCTCTACCAAAGGCTTACTTCATCACTTGTCAATTTTACCCTCTCGCCAGAATTTGAAAGCAATTGCATTGTCAAGGGGTTTATCAACCCTAAGCTCATCACTCACGTGTTCTTCACCCTTATCAATGTTATCTTCCACAACTGCCTAACCTTCCTTTAACACATTTTCATCTACTCTTCCATATGAACCCTTACAATGCCACTAAAGATTTGCCAAGCTTCTCCCACGAGCATAAGCCTTTTGCAAAATTAATTGGCAAGCATCTACAAATAAATGTTTGTAGTAAATATTAAGGTTAAATATTTTTTATATTTTTTTTCAAATTTAGTTTTAGTCCATACATTTAAAAATTGATTAATTAGTCCTCCAATTTTAACAACTTTAAAACAATAAAAAGTGTTGTTAAATATTAAATTTAGGTATATAATATACTAAAACTAATCCCTTTTTTTCAACTTTATTAAGCTAAAAAACATAATTAAAATGTTAAAGTTAAGTATAGAGAAAGAATTAAGATCAAATTTTTTGAAAAAGGAAAAACATATTTAATTATAAAAAATACAATATATTTTTCATAATATAATAATTATAATAAATATTTGTTAAATACTAATAAAATATTTTTGTCTATTTTCATACATAATTAATTATTTTATTAAATTTTTAATCATTATTATTATTATTAAAAAAGTCGTTAGTTTATTAAATTATTATTTTTATATTACATAAATTATTAAATTATATGTATACTATTAAAAAATAGATAAATATTTTAATTGTACTAAAAATAAATATTTATCATAATATTAGTTGAAAATGTTATTTTATCCTATTAAAAATTATAAATAAGAAATATTGAAATTTTGTAATTAAATAAAAAATAATATTAATTTTTCTATAATAAATAAATAATAAAATTATATTGATATTTTAACAAATTTAAAATTTATTTAAATTTTTGGGTTGAGATAAAATTTTGACGGTTAAATTCGTTACAATTTGTGATGAAATTAATTTTTATATAACGTATATTTCAGTCACCATATGATGAAAAGAATATTTAAGTTTTTATTTTATAAGTTGTGAGGAATCGTGTATTAGTGTTTGTGTTATCTAAATTTGTGATGATTTATTTTTCGTCCCAAAATCCATCACTAACTATTTATGATGTAATTCTGTATGTTTTTGATGGATTTACTCCACCATTAATGTTATTTCTTCGAACTTAGCTTTCATTTTCATTTTCATTTTTTTTTCACTTTAAAACTTTACTATATTTATATTTCTTTTTCTTTTCTTTTTCTTGTTTGATTTATTAACTCTTTTTGAAATGGGAGAAAGCAATTCAAATTTTATAACATTAGAGTTATCAAGCTGCTTGATTACTTATTATGATAAAAACATGTAGTAATGAGTTTTAAACACATAGAATAGAAGGTACCAGTGAGAAGAAAAAGAAGTGTGATTAACAAAGGATTCAAAAAAAAAATTCTCCCGAAATTATCTAAACCTAAAATAACTTGAACATAAATATTTAATGTATTTTATTCTTTATTGAGCAAAATTATTTGAAATACATACTTAAACAATAATCATGATATTATTATTATTATTATTATTATTATTATTATATACATATTATATTAGAAAGAAAGAAAAAAATCATGAAACTTACTTTTTTATTTTTATCATTTATTTTTTAAAATATGAGTAACATTAGATGCTCTAAAAATTGGAAAATTTAGGTTTTGATAACAGGCTTGGCTTGATAATTTATCTAAGTGTGTTCAATAGGATTTTTTAGGAACAAGTTTCACTTGTTGAATTTCAACTTTGTTGATTATCGTGAGTTTTAGTTTTATCCTTTCATTTTCTTTGTATTTTTTTTATATGATTTTAACATTTGACACATTATTAATAGGATTGGGGTGTCAATTTAGTTGTTATATATTTACATTTTGTTTTGAATTTATACTTTTTGTACAATATTATATCACAACTATTTTGTAAAAGAAGCTAACATGTTCACATTCATAATATATTTGTTTTTAAAAAATTATTTGTGTGAAAAACTATTCAAAATAGCTTTTACCTGAATTAAATTAGTTCCTTTTTATTATAAGTGAAGAAACATTTTTTTTAAATAAGTGGTTATTTTAAAAAAATATTTTTCTATAAAAAGTTGTTACAAATGACTCAAAATTTATTGAGTCATTCTTGATTTGTTTTACTATGATTGAATTTTGGATCATCTCCTATGAGCAAATAGAAGCGCCCTAACATAAATTCCACGCATTGTTGTTGGAACCACTTTGATTCTACAAACATCTTCACACTTGTCAATAGGGCAAGTCCACTAAATCAACACATTGCTCAATGTTTCTCAAAATCCACAGGATTTAAGCCAACATGTTACCAGCCATTTTCTCTTTGTTTTCTTCTTCATCGATTGTATCACACAGCGCTCTCCCCTTTGTCTCTGGCAAGAATATTCCAAAACCCCCACTAAAACCTATCACCAACCCAAAAACCCCATAACACAGAAACTTGTTCTCTCTTCCAGCACTCACCAGCATTGGACTGACAGCGCCACCAAACACCACTGCTAACCTTGCCATAGACAGTGCTGAATTCCGCACACAAGTTGGGAACAATTCGGTGGTGTAAATGAGGTACACGTTAAACGCAGAACAAGCACTGAAGAATGATATCAACTCGAACCCTATTTGCAGATTGTTCCATGGCTTCACTTCAATGATTGACATCAGACTGAAAACACCACTGAGGATAGTGAAGAGAAGGATTGCAGTTCTCCTATTGAACATGTCTATGAAGAAGAACACAATCAATGCAGAGGGTAACTCGGACAAGGCATTGAAAGTGACACTCAAGTATAGGTTGAAGGACAAGTTTTGAAGGCCTAGTGGGAGGCCATAATACACCAATCCAATCCCTATTCCGATAGCCATAATTGACACAAGCCTTCTCAAAGACCATTTGTTTTGTAGCAGAATTTTGAGGGCAGAGAACAAATCCACGTTCCAAGTTTCTTCCTTGAGGGACATGTTATTAATGGCCAAGTCGAGGTTGCTTTGAGTGACTGATGTGATGCATTTCAACGTGGCCACGGCTTCTTCTTTCCTTCCTCGCACTAGAAGCCACCGGGGGGACTCCATAACGAACACCTTCACCAATATGCAGTAGATAATTGTTGTAATAGATGTCCACAGATAAAGGTTCCTCCACGACGAACTCCTGTTTAGGTAAGCCATGGCTGGTAGGGACAAGAACCCTACACATCCACACCACAAAACATACGGATGATAAGTAAATAAAAATTGGATCTAAATGCTCTCTTTTTAAAAAAATAAAAAATTTGCCAATATATTATTATTTTTTTAATTTTACAAATAACTTAAATTATTCTACTTCCTAAAGAGAAACAATTAATATATATTTTTTATGTCTTAAAATTCGTTAAATAATTATTATTATTATTCAATAACAATCAATGATTGTTAGAAAACTGTGTTTCTTGTCACGTGTACCAGTAATAGAAGTGCATGTAAATATAAAAGCATGGAGTCCATTGGCTTAAATATTTTCCCTTCCAATCAACCTACATTTTTATTTGAAAAAAAAAAGATTATTTTATAACTTCTTTTCAACAAAGAACCTTCCAACAACTTCATTTAAAATATAATTTTAATTTTAATTTTTTTTCATACATTCTTTCACAATTATTTTATCAATAATCAATTAATTGAGTTCTCCCAATATTTTTTTCCATAAGATTGTTCATATACGATTGCTGTGTTTATTTGTCTTTGGTTGGGACCAGTGCTTTTATCATCATCATTATTATTATTATTATTATTATTATTATTATTATTATTATTATTATTATTATTATTATTATTATAACCACATGATGCATAGATAGAAGTGTTACGGATACACTTGTTTCAATATATTTTAATTATTTTTAAATTTAGATATAATTGATGAATGAATTTGTTTTCCCAGGCAATTGATATATATGATTCATACTTCCTTGTTTTAAAATAATAATTCTTAATTTTTTTAAAAAGTTTTAAAATTGAATGATATTTTTAATTCATTCCCAAATATTTAGTAAGAAAGATTAACATCACAGAAAATAAAAGTAATATATATATATATATTTAGAAAGATAAATTATTTTAATAAAAACATATTTTACTATTATTATTTTTAAATTAATTAAAATATATATATACAGGAGTAGGTGAAAAATTATAATACAGTTTTATGAACAATGTATGACAAAGCATGACTCACCACCTCGTGATCCGCGCGTGCGTACTCACCTATAGTGAAGCAAAAGAAGCCGATGGCACTGATCTGGCCGCGCCGCCGTTTGCCAACGATCTCGGTGGCGAGCACGAGCGCGGAAGTGCTAATGGTGGCGCGAGCGAAGCCGCAGAGGAACTTGAGCGCGGAGTAAATCCAAATGTTGGACGAGAGAGTGGCGAGAAGAGAAGTGATGCCCATGAGGAGGCAGGAGAAGAAGAGCATGTTCTTGCGCCCGAGCGAGGAGTCAGCCAGCGAGGCCAGCCCGAATCCTCCCACCAAGCACCCGACAAAGAAACTCGAAGCGGGAAGCCCCGAGATTACCGTGTTCGCGCACTCCAGACCCCACTCCGACACGGTGGACGCGTGCGCGGGTCCGTCCCACGCCCAGGACTCCCGGGGGAGGTCGCAGAGTGCGGCGGCGGCGGCGGCGCAGGCATTATCGGCCCGAGTGCAGTGCCACGAGGGTAAGGCGTCGGTGAAGACGGTGATGAAGGTCTGTTGGGCGTCGAAGAGCCAGGCGACGGAGACGAGGACGGATTGGAGGAACTGGGACCAGTTGAACTCGCCTATGCAGAGTTCCACCGTGGATCCCAGCGATGGGTGGTGCTTCTTGGTTGGTGACGGTGGTTGTTCTTGTGTGTGATATGATGGTAGGTTGGGTTGGCAGAGGAGAGGGGTGGGATCTGCCATAAAGAGAAGAAATGTATATATTTCTTTTTCTTCTCGTATTTGCATATGCAAATTGTGTGAGCATGCGAGGGTTTTATACGAGAGTGGAACATTGGACCTTTCTGGATTCATCTCTGTTGATCTTCCAATACTACGTTACTCTTACAAATTTTTATTCTGTTTTTTAAGAAAAAATGAATTTGTACTTTACAGCATTATCTCTTGAATTAAACAAATTTAAAATTGAAAGTGGAGTTTTTAAATTAACAAGTTAAACTAAAATTGGAAAGCAAAATCATTCATGCAAGTAGTCTTTGATGATATGAAAGTATTGATTCCAGTTGTTGCTCTTATCTTTATTTATTTGTCCCACTATTCATTGAATAGCCACATCAGGTTGAAGTGGCAAAGTTGTCTTGCCAAATATTTTAACAAATGAAAGTGTTGAAGATAAATCAATACTTTATTTAGAATCTCATAATCATGTACTATGTACCAAACCATTACTTTACCTAATTACAATTTATTTACAAGTTAATTAACTAACTATCTAAGTAGAAATCAAATGATAAATTAATTACTAACGTTAACATGGTCTATTCCAATTAACTAATACAAGTATATGAACATATGTAATTTAGTTAGAAATTCTGGTGTGATAAAAAGCTAAGAATAAGATAAATATAGTAGTCATTAAGAGAATGACTAATAATAAATTATGCACTTCTTTTAAAAAAAACTTATTTTTTATTGTATTAATGCTAATTAATAAAAAAAAGAATAATTTTCTCATAATATTTGGAAGCTTCATAGTAGCAAAGGTTTTGCTTGCCATATTTTCAAGGGTAGCATCTAGGAGTGTCAATATGGGTTCTAACCCGTGAGCCAACCCGGCTCACCACGGGTTCGAGCTAGGTTGGGTTTGATTTTTTTTATTTCTACTGATTATGGGTTAAAAATGAATCCGGCTCACTTAATCCACGGGTTAAACGGGTTCGAGCCGGGTTATAGTGGGTTGGCCATAACCCACCATTAATTTTAAATTTTAAAAATAATTATAATAACATACTAACCTTAATTAATCATTTATTTTAAATTTTTAAAATAATTATAATACTTTAGTAACCCTAATTGATGTTATCATGTCTTACCTCTACCCTACATTGTTGGTTGTCGCCACAAGTCAAACCCTCACTTAAACTTGTTATCAGTTGTTCGCTACATCATTACGTTTGTCGCTGCACTTTGGTCACTTATCTTATTATCTGTCCACCGCACCACTACACCATGTCCATTGTATTGTTTTCAAAGGTAAGAATTTGTTTCATAACTTAAACCACTATATTGCTTTCAAAGGTAAAAATTTGTTTCATAACCTAAACTATTGGATTGATGAATCTTTATTTGAAAATTGTAGCATCTATACATTATTTGTTGTTTGTTATTGATTTATACGTATATCTCTTTAATATATGAATTTTTTACTTCTTTCTTTTAAATTAATTTACAGTATGGAATCGAAACAATACATCAAAGCGTCAATATAGATTGTATTGGTGATGATTTTATTATTAATGGAAAATCCAATGAGTCAATTTCAGTTAATAACGAAGATACTGATATTGAGAGAGAAAAGAAGAAAACATAAGTTTCTACATCCGAAGTTTTTATATAATTTAAAAAATTAAAAAAACATGGGTTAGTGAGTCAACCCACCTAATCCACCAACCCGTGGTGGGTTGAGCCGGGTTATAAAATTTCTGGCTCGCCAAAAAGTGAACCGGGTTGAGCTCACCTATTTTCAGCTCAACCCGTGGTGAGCCAACCCGTGTGAGCCGGGTTGACTCACTTTGACACCCCTAGTAGCATCTCACCATTTTTTTTTTCACAATTTATTAGTTAAAAAATAGAGAAATATATATGAAGAAGTAATTAGAGCTAACTGTTTTTTATGATTTAAAAAGGGTGTATATTTGACGAAACTTGCCATCTAATCCAAATAAAAATTATTGAACTGGGTTAGATTAAGTTTTTATATTTTTTCAATTCAACCTTGATTAGATTGATTGAATTAATTAGATCATAATTTTTTATATAAAACTGTTTCCCAACCTAGGGTTAAATTAAAAAAATACAAAACAAAAAAATCAATTTGAATTGGATCATAAACTTACTTAATCTAACGAATATCTTTACTTTGAAATACTTTACAATTATTTTGTTTTCATAATTTATCTCTTCTCTTTTTCTTAAATCTCCATCCATGATAAAGTAAACAAAAATAAATAAATAAAATTGGTGTGCCATTTTCGAATAGTTGTTATTTATTTACTTATTTCGTCTTTTACTTTAATTTTATCACTGAAAACTATACTTTTAGATTAAAATAAATCTTTTAAGAATTCTGAAAACTAAATTATCTGTTTTTAGTATTTTTAAAATTTAAGAATTAACAATAAATTAATCTTCTATAAAGTCAATCTTAAATCATTAATTTAAAAAAAAATCAATTTTGTTAATTAAAATTATCCTATTTTTATTTTTTTATATAAATCTTATCTAATTAAAACTATTTTTCCACATATGCATACTTTTCTCAAAATATTTTCTATTTAATAAATTTTTACTATTGATGATTAATGTTATAATGAAAAATAACTTTACTTATTATTATTATTATTATTATTATTATTATTATTAATGTTATATATATATATATATATATATATATATATATATTACTTGTATGTTAACAAAAATGTATTTCAATGTATTTATAAAAAATTAAAATTATTTTAATTACTGAATTGATATTTTAAATTTATATTAATATCTTGAATAATTTAATAGTTGGATATCAATTAAAACACTTTACAAAAATCTTCTAAGTTGATTTAATCGATTGTTTCAGCGATTCAATCGATTGAAATATCTACAAAACTTTCTCCTAAAACTTTTCAAGTTATTTTAACTGATAAAAATAAGTTTTAATCGATTAAAGCATTGTGTGAAATTGTTTTAATCGATTGAAACGAGATTTAATCGATTAAAATAGTTATGATCAGTCATAATTGCATTACGATCGATCATAATTGAAACCATATAATAGCGGTTCAAGGGTTAACCGCTATCTAAGTGAGATTTTAAGAGCGTGCTTCTGTAACCGCTTATCTAAATCAGATCTCGCTTGAGCTGACAACCTTCTCGCTCGGTAAACGCCTACGCACAAAATTAGTACTCTCGGTTGTATTTAGCTGAGCGAGTCTAGTCTCGTCGAGCGATATTTGATTCGATCGATTAGATTTTCGAAATGATCGATCATATTTGATAATTTTTTCAAATAATTAATTATAATCGATTAGTTTTCTAAATTATTGATTAGAATTGATTAGTTTTTCAAATAATAGATTAGAATTGATTAATTTCTAAATATATACTAAAAATTATAATTAAAACTATAAATTAGTTAAGAATATTGATTATTGTAAAGATAAAGTAGAACATGGGAGGAGATGAGGATGATAATATAATGATAGAACTTACAAAAATGTAGAATTGAGAAGTTTGAAACAAATAAAATTAAGAAAATAGATATTTAATTACACTTTTAATAAATTTAAGATAATACTAGTTTTGATTTTTATTTTTAAATATTTATTTTAATTATTTAAAACAGAGAAACTATAATTTTAGTTTCTAGCTATCTGAATTTAAAGAATTAAATTTATTATTATTTAATCTTTTAATTTGTAGAATTAAACTCAATATAATTGTTAAAAATACTTTGTAGAGGCATTTGAGAAAGCTTTTGTCAAAATACTTTGTTTTTAATTGTTAAAAACATTTGTAGAGGCATTTTGCAAAATCTTTTAAGTGAAGAAACCTCATGCAACGAAATCTTTTAATTTTAGTATTAAAAATTTAAATTATATTTTATTAAATTAAACTAGTTACAATATATTTTTTTACTTTGAGAATGAACAATATAATTAAACTCAAAATTGACAATATTATAATACATTTTTGAACTCTTTTGGATTAATTTTTTTTCCTAATTTTTTATAAAGTTAATTTTAATATTTAAAAGTATTTAACATTTTGAATTCGAAAGGTTTTCTCTAATAGCAAATTTAAAAACATAATATTCAAAAAGTTTTCATTATGATTGAAGAAAAGAAGAATATAATTGAGAAGATATGATAGCGGTTCCACTTTAACCGCTATCTAAAGTATAATTTAGATAGCGGTTAATGGTTAACTCGCTATTAGAAGTGCACTTTTAAGAGCGGTTCTTGTGGAACCGCTATCTAAAATGTATTTCGCTTGAGCGCTAATATTCTCGCTCAAACGAAACGCCCTGCACAAAATTGGCATTCTCGGGTTGTATTTCGCTTGAGCGACACTACTCTCGCTCGAGCGAAATTCGTTTCGATCGATCATAACTTGAAATGATCGATTATAATTGAGGGATATAATAGCGGTTCTCTTATAACCGCTATCCGAAGTGTATATTAGATAGCAGTTAAGGCTTATACGATATTCGAAGTGTATTTCGCTTGAGCGAGACTACTCGCTCAAGCGAAATCCGATTCTGATCGATTATATTTTCAAAATGATCGATCATATTTGATAATTTTTTCAAATAATTAATTATAATCGATTAGTTTTCTAAATTATTGATTAGAATTGATTATTTTTTCAAATAATAGATTAGAATTGATTAATTTCAAAATATATACTAAAAAATTATAATTAAAACTATAAATTAGTTAAGAATATTGACTATTGTAAAGATAAAGTAGAACATGGGAGGAGATGAGGATGATAATATAATGATAGAACTTACAAAAATGTAGAATTGAGAAGTTTGAAACAAATAAAATTAAGAAAATAGATATTTAATTACACTTTTAATAAATTTAAGATAATACTAGTTTTGATTTTTATTTTTAAATATTTATTTTAATTATTTAAAACAGAGAAACTATAATTTTAGTTTCTAACTACTGAATTTAAAGAATTAAATTTATTATTATTTAATCTTTTAATTTTAGTATTAAAATTTTAAATTATATTTTATTAAATTAAAATAATTACAATATATTTTTCTCCTTTGAGAATGAATAATATAA